CAAGTTTAACGTGTACCACCGGTGGTACACATGGCACGGAACGTGTTAACCGGATAATTATTCATTTACTAAATGACTATACATTGCCAATTAATTCAAGTTCGCAGCTGAACTTCCACCGAATAAAGCAGCGTTTTTTAAATTTCAAATTAACAACTGCATTTGCATACATTTGTATAATTCTGTTCAGTGCCTCCTTCTGTTTCTAACGATACGGGGCGGGCGAGGGATTTCATTTCCGCTTGCCAGTGTTCGTATAAATTAAACGTAAACTCCGAATCGGGAAACCATTAAAGAGTGAAAAATAGCGTTTTAAACGCATAATTTCCGCAGAACAGACACTGAATAATCGCACAACTGTAAAATAAACGTGCGTTAGCGGAAGTATAATGATCAATCAAGTCGCGAGGTTTTTACAGGTGACTTTAAAAATGTAGAATTTCAATGCTTAACATTGCAACTATATAACGTTATCAAATAATATTACAATTCGACAATCGTATAATGATAATTATTATTTAATACGTACAACGTATAGTCTATCAACGTTAATTTTTTTTTTAATTTCTAATTTTAATTTTAATTTCCTTAAACATATGATCCTGCACAAAATTGTCTAATTATTGTACAAAGTGTCACCGATTTAAACAATCAACTTTCACTGTTATGTTGTCTAATTGCAAGTTGAAACGCTTTCTCCAAGCGAGTTTGATAAAAATATAAAAAAAATATTAACGATAATATTTATTTACTGGGAAAGCTTGTCTTGCCTCTATCTAACTGAAACAACTAATTCTGAATAACTAGCATAAGCTAACAGACGGCTTCACTTAGAATAATGAATGACTGTTCGAGTAGTCGACTTGACCGACTGAACTGGACAGACGAATGCTGAGACACTGACTCTTCAGAGTCCTCTTATGAGAAAATCTTCGTCTGCCCATCGAAACTTGGTTTTCAACACGGCAATTGCTGTTGTGCAGGCTAACACTGCTCGCACTTGAAACTAACTGTGATTTATGGCACGTTCGCATGTAATTTTCCAAAGTGTCTACGCGTGAGGAATGCGGAGGATCTGTAGAGATCTAACAAGCTACGAGAGCCAGTCAAATGTAAACCTTTGGGATTCTTTTCTGTTGCAACGAAATTGCTTAGAAAAAGAAAAAAAAGAAAGCCAAATGGTTTAGGTTATTTATGCTCTTTTGTCACTTTTGTTTCGATTGGCAGTTCTTTCGTTCCGGTTGAGATGCCAATCGTACACAAATTTTTCCATCTCGTTGCTATTGAATCATTGTCTCTTTCTCTCTCTCTCTCTCTAGTGAGACTGTTTTAATTCTTCGACATACAACGATACTTGTATGCGTTTCTTCAGCTAAAGCGCAGATTTAAACTACTTCTAGTGCAGCCACGCGACTGTAAAACAAAAATTACTCGAGATAATTATGTTATTCAGTGTTAGAGTGCGAGCCGTAGAAATATTCCTTGTGAAATGTTTGTTTCGAATTTTTACAAAAGTGTCTCCGCGACATTCTTCAACACGAGTGTAAAGAATTATCTTTGTCAAGTTGACATCGGGTGTCGAAATGAAAAATAATTATCATCGTTCGTTGAATAATTCATTCAATTCGCATGTGAAGAGGTTAATGGTCCGAACAATCGATAATCACACAGTGACAAATCAGGACTAATTCTTGACAAATTCTTGATCTATATGTTTGTCCTTAATTTTGCTAAAGGTAAACTTTTCATCGAGTATACTCGCCATCGCCTAGAAATAATCGAGCACATTCTCGAAACGAAACGTTTCGTGAAAATAAAACACGCAGAAATCTGCCGTTCGTTCGATGCTTAATTTTTGTCAAACGAAACTTTCGGCCGAATTCTATCCTGATATAGGCGATATTCGTGCAATTAATTGTTTAAATTAAAGGGAAATCGACGACCCGAATCAATCAATTAACAAACCGATATTTCCCAGCAACGTCGCTGAAGTCGAGATCGTTTAACCTCCGCTTGGAACGCGAATCATTAATACGAGGATATTAGCACGCAGCTTCTCTCGGATGTATAAACAAACGCGGGGAGAAATAATTGAACCAGATTAACGACAAGGGGAGTAAATCGTGGCATAAGTTAAAAATAATGACGCGAAAAGTCTGGCTATTTACCAGTATTTACACTGATCCTAACACTTTTCTCTCCATGTCTTTTGTTTCTTTTCTTATGATAAATGAAAAGAATTTCTTATAATAAATTTCATTTCATCACGTTTTTTTATTATAACAAGCCCTTTTTAATTTCCCATCGGTTTTAATTGCAAACAAATAATATTTTATCCACTTGAGATAGTGGAGTAGTATTTCATACTTGAGACAGACGTTTTGTCTTTCAATGAACTCTTTCAGCGAGTCTCTTTCAGTCTAATATCGCCGATTTTCTTCGATATGTTTCGATATGTTTCAATCTTCCAGATTAATTAGTACTAACTGGAGTCGCGTTTCGAATTGTAAATTTTCAAAAATGCACTCAGTAACCACAAACGTGAGAGCAATCTCTTGCTATATTCTTAGATCTGTCGATTAAATGTGCAAATTTGTCGTTGAATCTTCCCGCGAACTTTTCAAATTAACTATTCGTACGTTTTTTTTTTTTTTTTTTTTTTGCATTTAGAAACAATTCTATACATTCTATACATGGTGAAACGATCTAACAAATCCTCCTTGAAAATGCTAAGGAAACTATCTTTGAGTTTATAATTATTTGCGGCATTGTAGATATGTACATATTATAATGTTAGAATTACAATTATAATTTTATATTAAAATAATTGTTGTAATGTAACGTACTGTTTACATATCTTGTATTTTGCACTATTATATTTTGTGGCATATTTTCTTTGTTATATCATACATCTAACCTTCTATATTTCTGTATATCTTTAAATACATATCTAATCCATATTTCTGTATATCTTTAAATACATTACTTAAATACATTATATCTAATCTATTCTATCTAATATATTCTATCTATTCTATCTAATATATATATATATATATCTATTCTATCTAATAGATTCTATCTATTCTATCTAATATATTCTAATTATATCTAATCTATCTTAAATACATTATATCTAATTTATTCTATCTAATAAACGAAATATTCTATCTATTCTATCTAATATATATATCTATTCTATCTAATAGATTCTGTCTATTCTATCTAATATATTTTAATTATATCTAATCTATATTTCTGTATATCTTTAAATACATATATATTCCATGTTACTTATATAATATATATAATTATATATCATATATCGTATATCATATATCATATATCGAATATCATATATCATATATCATATATACGTATATAATAGGCGCACTTGTATTTAGTAAATATATTTTTGTATCTAATATATATACATATACAACTGTAACACTTGTTATTAGATTAGATACATATTAAACGAAATATGTCACAAAATATAGTACTGCAGAATGCAAGACACATATTCAAGATATTAATGAAGTGTGAGTTTGTGACAAGAAATGAGAAAGAAAGAAAAGAGAGCGTAACGACCACATGCTGTCAAGCACGATTTTGATTGAACGAGAGAGGAAAAAGAGGGAACAAAGCTATGTTTTTTTTACGTCGTGTGTTACATACAAGATACACCTGCACCTATTGATTTCGTTAATATTTCAAACCACTGGAGAGTCGCTAGTCCACCGGGAAGCAAAACGCGAACGCTATAATTGCGTCACACTGCCGCAACCATAGGATCGTTGGAACGATTTGCGAGCTGCCGGCGCCATTTCTCTTGTATCGCCAGGTATCGAGGACGCGTTTATCGTCGAGCGAATTTCGCGGATGAATCTGCGTGTCCCACTGGTTTCATTAAACGGCGAGCCGCGCGTTCCTCCGCCGACGAAACGAATATATCGCCGCCGAAGACGCGCCATGTACAATGCGAATGGAATCCCACGCGCATTGTATGCGCGAGAAAGCTCTCGGCATATCGAATGGGCCGCATTTACCGCGCCGCATTGCTGAAAGCCCAGCAAAGGTCTAATAAATCAGGCGAAAGGAGGCGATTCCTTTGTGCATTAACTCGAATAAAACGCCCACGTCTCGTCTCATCGACACCGTTCAATCTGCTGTTGCACGCTACAACAGCCGCTATAAAATATT